CACACACACACATATATATATATATATATATATATATATATATATATATATATATACATATATATATACACATATATACATATGCATATATATACACATATACATATATATATATATACACACACACACACACACACACACACACACACACACACATATATATATATGTTTTTGCGTTCCCTTGCAAAGATGTTTTGCGTTATCCCGCAAAGATGTTTTGTGTTTCCGCAAACACTTCCTGTTATTTCATACATGTCAACCCTCAAGATGCTGCACATCTTGGATCTTCACACCATAGACAACAAAGATAGTGGGGCCATTCTTCATCAGTGGAAACCTCAAGGCCACTGGATATTTGAAATTGCTACATGATGATGTGTTTCCCTCTTTATGCTCTGAAGCTGGCACGTTCCCTGAGTTTTTCCACCAAGATGGTGCACCACCACATTGTGGTTGTCAGGTCCGAGCATTACTAGATGAACAGTTTCCTGAAAAGTGGATTGGACATTGAATGGCCCTCAGGGTCTCCCAATTTAACGCCCTTAGACTTTTATCTTTGGGGTCACCTGAAGGCAATTGTCTATGGTGTGAAGATCCAAGATGTGCAGCACCTGAAACTACGGATACTGGAAGCCTGTGCTGGCATTTCTCCTGCGGTGTGTGAAGAGTGGGAGAAGAGGGTTGCATTAAAAAAACCAACACAATGGGCAGCACATTGAACACATTTTATAAGTGGTCAGAAACTTGTAAATAACTCATGAAATAATAAAGTTACGTTACAACCAAGCACACCATTGCTTATCTTGTGAAATTCCCAATAAGTTTGATGTGTCAAATGTTCCTCTTCCTATTGAAAAAAACAAAAGTTGGATCCAAGATGGCCGACTTCAAAATGGCCACCATGGTCACCAACCATCTTGAAAAGTTTGCCCCCTCACATATACTAATGTGCCACAAACAGGACGTTAATATCACCAACCATTTCCATTTTATTAAAGTGTATCCATATAAATGGCCCACCCTGTATTTTAAATAGCCACTTAAGTGCTAAAATGTGCTGTCCACGTTTGTGGCCACTAAGCCCTAAGAGGTTAATATCAATCCATCTGTCTGTACTTTTATCTGTCATTCTTTTTTTCATAAATACAAAAAATAAAATAAAGAATAATAATTATAATAAAGATCACCTACACCTTGGGTGTCCATAGAGTACATTACCAGTAAATGTTAGTTTTTTGGGAGATAATTCTTAAGCCTAGCACCAAAACAAACAGACAAATCTCTAAATGTGAAGCAGAGAGTAGTGATTTCCATGTGAGGTGTACCTGGCCCACATATGTCTCCCAGCAGGGGTCTTGCTGTGATCTGCTGTTGTACTCGTAGAGGACGGTCTGATTTAGCACAGACTGTATTCTCATGGGCTGTGCGGTGGTTGTGCTGCTCTTGACTGTGGTGACGCTGTTGTTCAGCTCCAGGAGACTCGGGCTTAGTGTGATGTTATGCCGCTCTGCCAGATCCGGGACGATGGTGGACAGATTGTCTTCAGTCGGCTGCGAAATCGTGGCTAGGTAGGATGTCGAATCAGACACATTTCCTGGAGCCACAGGAATCTACAATTATTCAAAACAGGATGCTGCGTGTTGATTTTTTTAGGTAATTAGGAAAGAGTTCATTTTAAATGCATAGTAATCAAAATAAATGTCCTGAGTACAATAAAACATAAACAGCAATGGTAACACTTAAGATTAAAAGGCACCTATAATGCAAAATCTACTTTGGGAAGCTGTTTGGAAAGAAATGTGTTATAAAAAAAACAAATAAATAAATAAAGAGTAATTTTAAAAATATGAATGCTTTTCTGTTATTTTTCAAGCATTGTCATTTTTTATTGTTCAGCGAAGTTAAGTTAACTACTAATTTTATTAATAATTTATTGAGTGGCTAATAATATTCACTTTAAAAAATCAGAAAAAATAAAAAACAGGTATTTTAGCCAAAAATAAAGAAAAAAACAAAAAAAACAAAACTGATTTAATATTTATTAATTATATTTTATCAAAATTAAAATTTCACATTAGGGCTAATAATTTAGCTTTAAACTTTATATCATAGTTGCATGCTGTTGTTGTTTTGTAGTTATTATTATTAATATTATTATTACTACTACTACAATATTAGTATAAACAACAGTCACTTAAGCCGACTCCAAGACGTAGAAAAATGTGGTAAATGTGGTCTCCCCACCCCGCACCGATATTGATCGACAAACGTTTACTACAATGTGTTAGTATTAAAGCATAAACATATCCACAGGACAGGATTTGCAAAAAAACTTGAAATTAAAAGATCTGTTTCCACTATCTGTGACTGCTACGCTTTGTATTTTTACAGCATTTTGAAATACTTTGAGCTATGCAACTTATAACTGCTGCAATCAGCACAGCTGCATTATATGCTCAACTATAAATGAGGATGCTTCAATCACACAAGTGTTTCAGTTTGAGGACGTTAAATCAGGTATATTTTGCACTAGGGTTGTGCTGATGAAGGATGCCATCATCCATCGCTGATGGCCGACAAACTTCAAGAAGCTGAGCTGGCATCGCGATCCATTGCCCCGCCCCACATTTATATTGATATATGACTTATCATTTGCACGTCATCTTAATAGCAATAACGGTCTTTTCATGAGCTGTGTTAAATGTTACATATAACTGCCGCTTGCACGGCTGACAGCATCGCGAGGATTAAATGAAGGATTATACAGTACCTCTCACACTTAAAATTTGTAGATTCGGTGGCAAACGCTGTTACCTGCAAACTCCATCCCACAGATTTTACAGTGAATGGCTGCAGTCATTTTCATGGCAGACTTGAAGCCGCTGGAAGTCTTTTATCCACTCTTGGAAAAGTGTAAATGGTGGATTAACATTCAGCACATGATCACTAACAAGATGTGCCATCAGATAATGCTGTATTTGCTGTATCCCTGCACATTTGCATCAGGTAAGATCTTTTGTTTAACAAGCTCCATGTACAGTGCCTCTCTGATCTCCTTTTTCAGTGCATTTCGAGGTACGACTAGATCAAAAGAATCTGCAATTAAAAACAAATCGTCTTTGCGACATTTATCTAAATGCTCCTAATTGTACATTTATCAAGTTCAAATTTTGATGCCATGCCAATCAAAATATGTGTGCCAATCACTATATTTCCTCCTTTATCAAAAGAAAAAACCCCAGGCAAACAAATGCAAAAACAAACGAGCCAAGTGAATTCAGCCAATAGAGTATACAACCAAAGGGTGAGCCCCCAATTGCATGTTACGCACTGTCTAGGGATGGTGCACAACATGAAAGACAAGACAACGAAAATAAAGACAAAGATTAATTGGGGTTTGAATTCGGGAGCTGACAAGGCCAAAATAACAGACAAAAATTCCTTTATGTTATCTCTAGCTTGCCTGATCAAAAATAAAAGTAAGTAAACTTACTTTGATCATAAATAAAAGTAAGAAAAAAAGTAAGTAAAAGCAAATTCACTACCCTAACTACCTAACACAAAAACAGAGGTCAAAAGGTTTTACGAAGAAAATGGCGTCAAACTCCTTACTATCCCAATATTTATATACACTGTTTACAAACTATTTACAAAACAGGCAACAATATTTAAAGGACAATCCAAAATCAATGTCAGCAGGCAACAAAGGTCAAACACGCCAGTGGAACAAAGTATCATAAACAAAGCAAACACTAGTGATGTGACGTTGTGCACCGAGGCTTCAAAGCATGTATCAAAAAAAAGATCCATCTCGCAGTGAAGCAGTGTACCGGAGCTTGATTCGTTTTGCCATCATCACGTGATCAGTGACGTCTGAAGCTTTATTTTCGCCTATACCCTCGTGACTGCTTCGAATTTTGATTCAAAGGTTTAAACACCCTCATGGGTTAGTAAAGTCTATAGCGAGAGATTAGGCGTCGATTACATACATTTCTACTGTTCCAAAGCACTGCACCGGTCCCACACACCAGTAATTAAACTAAAATACAATAAAAAGGTTTTGAACCATACTAAAGTGTATTAGCTTATTTTTTTAACTATCTTTAAAGAAAACCACTGCAAATCGTAGTATTCTGTTTACCAGAGACCAGCTGGCACGTGCAGGCCAAAGGCATCAATCACATAGCTTCCTCCTAGAGCATTTGCCTCCCATGCAGGTATCGCTGGTTTGATCCCCGCTTGGAACAGGACTAGTTGTATTATGATAAACCTTTGAATACCTTGGATTTTACTACAGTCATCAGTGGTGTAATGTAATATATCTTATGTGTCAAAACTACAGTAATTGAATAATTTGATTATATTGCTGTTGTTGCATTACTACATGAAAGATTTGGTCAGTTGTGAACATTTGACATTATGGCAACACAGTGCTTTCCCACACTTTAACCAGAAGAGGTCCTCATCGAGCTCTGATTTAGAAAGCTTTGAGTAACTAACCTTTTTCCGATACAATTGAGTCAAGCGCTTTACTGGTTCAGAAAGCTTAATTTCACCATCACTAGCAAACATTAAAACAAAAAGTACTCACAAATCTCAATAGAATCTCAGTAGTCACACAAAACAAACAGTTCTCACAAATCTCAATATTCCCAGTCTTAACACATCCAAAAACTCTATACCACAAACAAAAGTTTCAACAAACACAAAGACAAGTGACCAAAAACAAGATGGCTGCCAAGGAAGTAGTGTCATGGCTTTTTAAAACACTGTAGGCCAATCAGGAACAAGCAAGTTGGAAGTGGCCAATTAGATGTGTTCTAAGCAAAACAGGAAAAAATCTGCCAGTGTTATTTTCATTCTCTCATCTACCGTGCTTCAGATTTTTGGGTTGTAGCTTCTTCTTCTTATTATTATTATAATTGTACGGCGGTTGGCATCCAGTGTTTTGGTGCATTACCGCCACCTTCAGCTCCGGAGTGTGGATCAGAGGTTAGGTTTACAGACTAATCATTCCCCTCACTTCCCTCTTTCCCACCCCTTCTCATACACACACATACATACTTACATACACACCTCTCCCCTACTCCTATGTTATAATAATAACCATAATACTCTAAGGGTTGTAGCTTCTGTCATCTGAAGGCAGAAGGCATTGACTGAGTGATTGACAGCTGATATTAACCAATCCATTCGCGTTCAGTTCTAGAGCAGTGGGCCAATAAGAAGAGCGCGAAGGTGGGGCAAGCATTGCTGGCTTATTTACTTCAGCAAGTTCACATAACAACTGTTTATCTGTTTTTGAGCGCTGCGTTTGGCGTTTTTAGCTGCAAAGATGCATTCTGCATAAATGTCTCCTAAATAAAAACAATGAAGATGTATGCACAACAGTGAATTTCAACCGAACTCCCGTCTCCTCCACCAGAGTCCCGCTGAAAAAAATGATTGACAGGTGGTCATTTGTTTTTAGCTTTATTTATTTTTGGTTTAGTTATGAGTAAAGCAAAGACCATGTGGGTCAGGTAGTGAAAATGGGAGGCTACAATTAATTAATTCGTTATGAATTCATTGATATTTAACAACCACCCCACCCCTACGACGATGATGGCATCGTCCATCGCGATGTTTCACATTAGACATCGTACGATGCTAAATTGGTCAACATGGCCTAACCCTTTTTTGCATAGTATCTTAGCCATCTATACAGCTGCATATTTACCTGTTTAGTGGGCATCCTGTCACATTACCATGAGTAGATGAGCAAAAAACATGTTAAGTGCACGCATGCTGGATGTTTGTTTGTGTGTGTGTGTGTGTGTGCACGCACAGTGAACGTTGTAGTTCATTTATCTTACTGTGGTGTTTGTGATTGTGGATCTCTGTTTAACTGTGTCATTTAGTTGCTGTGTGTCATTTTTGTGTGACATCTGACCTCGTTTATGTTTCTCTGAAAAGAAATGACTCAAGAGTGGGTAAGAAAAACCAGCTCATTTTCATTTAAAGCCACAGTCACCAAAACAGCTAGAATTCCCTCTGACCCCAAAATTGACATTTTCAATAGGGCATAATAAATTATCTGATGGTTACTTTGACCTGATACTTTACAGATGCAGATTATTATTATTATTATTATTATTATTATTATTATTATTATTACCATTATTATTATTATTATTATTATTATTATTATTATTATTATTATTATTATTACTATAATATTAATAATAATAATAATAATTATTATTATTATTATTATTATTACTATTACCATTATTATTATTATTATTATTATTATTATTATTATTATTATTATTATTAATATTACTACTACTATTATTATTATTATTATTATTATTGTTATTATTATTGCTATTATTATTATTATTATTATTATTATTATTATTACTATTATTATTATTATTATTGTTATTACTATTATTATTATTACTATTATTATTATTATCATTATTATTACTATTATTATTATTAAATTATGTAAATAAATAGCAAATCACACTATTAAATTATAATACTAATACTGTGAAAAACATATACAATAAAAACAAAAATCTCAACAGCTCAGCAAAAAAGCTTTGAAGTGAATTACATAAAAGATTTGGTTATATTTAGTTTAATCATGCTTTAAGACAGTAAGGTTGAGAATGAAATCAGAAGGTAATAGTGACTCACAGCTGAGCTCATGCTGTTGACTTTATCCAGGAGGGCAATAATCAAACTGTAGAGGTTTCCAAGATACAACACCAGAACTCTAAACAAAACAAACATCATATTATCTTTAATAAAGAGGTAAAACCAAATTAGAGCAAATAGTGTGAGTTTTCTGACCTGGCCAGCTGGAAGCGGAGACTTGTCCTGGGATGGTACATTTCCAACTGTGACACAAGCTCAAAAGCTGAAGGAGCAATCATTGTGATGAGCGAAACCACCACACTCACCTGATGAACAAACATAATGTGATGACACAATCTAAAAGCAAGTGATTCATTCAATACCGTATTCATACAAATGAATTATTGATTTGAGTTACTCAACAGTAGTTGTTCAAAAACTGATTCATTCAGGAAGGAGTGTTTCTCAAATGGTCTCTCCACGAAACACAAGCGTCAGAGAGATGAAAGAGCACAATTTCTACAGGTGGTTTGTCAAACCCACTCACTCACCTGTGAGAAGATGAACAGCTGCAGAACACTGAAAACATGATTGTACAGAAGTGTGCAGTACAGTACCTCATTCTTCTCCCAGAGGGTCAGCTCAGGTTTCTCCTGCTCCAGTTTCTGAGAACGATCCACCACAAAGTAGATGATGTAGATGCTGCCGGTCAACGACAGCAGGACCAGAATGTTTGCCAGAATCCTCAAACTGATCAAGACGGCTCTGATGGGACATACAACAATACAGTCAGGGGATTTATATTTAACAGCTTAATGTGCATTAAAGGGACAGCTCACACAACAATGAAAATCACTCTCACTCTCGAGTGGTTCCAAAACTTTCTTTAATAATACTCTCAAACGTTTTTTATACACAAATTTTATTTAAAAACCTGTAACCATTGACTCCCATAGTAGGAAAAACAATTACTAAGGATGTCAGTGGTTACAGGTTTCCAACATTCTTCAAAATATATTCTTTTGTGTTCAACAGAAGAAAGAAACTCTAAGAGGTTTGGAACAAGTTAAGGGTCAGTAAATAATGACAGATTTAATTTAGTTTGGGTAAACTGTCCCTTTAATTGGCTTAAATGGCTACTTTACACTTTAAAATATCTGTAAATTAGCAATTTTCCATATTTTTGATACATGTTTTAATTTCTGCCTGTTAATTTATGCTTTTGAATTGCATTGTGTGACCTTGATCTTTATTTCAACATTTAACCTTGAAATGTTGAAAAAAAGTGACTTGTCTTAACATTTTTTAATAGTTTAAAGTGAAATGGTGTCTTTGTTGGTGTTGACTCTAAACATTGCACATCGCTACTGAAAACTGAATAATTTTATTGAAAAAACTCAATAAAAAGAAAATATCTCTTAAAATCTGTCAAAAATATATCAAGGTCATGTTTACTTGTCATTTTGCATGCTGTATGCATCAAAAATGATCATAGAAATAAAAAAAAAATAATAATAACAAATCCAATAAATTCATGAAAATTTACAGGATTGAATTAATGTCTGCATGCACTTCAATATTTACAATACAGTAACAAAAGTGTTCATTTTTCAGAAAATAACAGTTTAATAATAGTCCTCAGTTTCTTAAAAATATTTTTAAAAAAGAAAAAGAAAGAGCAGAAAAGGAAAAAGAAAGAGGAAAAAGAAGAACAAGAAGCTCAAAGCGCTTTCCACATGGGGGGGGGGGGGGATCTCCTCACCCACCACCAGTGTGCAGCATGGATGCCAGACCGCACACCACACACCAGCTGATTGGTGGAGAGGAGACAGAAATGAAGCCAATTGGAATATGGGGATGGTTAGGAGGCCATGATGGACAGAGGCCGGTGGGCAGATTTGGCCAGGATGCCGGGGTTAAACCCCTACTCTTTTTCGAAGGACATCCTGAGATTTTTAACGACCACAGAGAGTCGGACCCTCGGTTTAATGTCTCATCCGAAAGACGGTGCTCACTTAGCAGTATAGCGTCCCCGTCACTATACTGGGGCATTAGGACCCACACAGACCGCAGGCTGGCCTGCTGGCCTCACTAACACCACTTCCGCAGCAACCTAGCTTTCCCATGAGGTCTCCCATCCAGGTACTGACCGGGCGCAGCCCTGCTTAGCTTCAGTGGGCGACCATGTGAGAGTTGCAGAGAGCTAGCTGCCGGCATATAACTGTATATATGTGGATATATATATATATATATATATATATCTAC